TTAAAACTGTTAAGAGTGTATTTTAAGCATTCTTAACACAAAAAAGTAAGTATGTGTGGTAATGGGTATGTTAATTAGCTTGACTTAGCCATTCCACAATGCATACATATTTCAAAACATGTTCTGGGTGGTAAACATGTCTAATTTTTGTTGGCTAAAAAATATAGGTGATTAATTCTGGGTTGGTAGCAAATTATGTGATTTTAATTTTGTTCTCTATGCTTTTTAGTATGTTCTGATTTTTTTTTTACAACAAACAAATCTTGTTCCTATAAAAGAAAATATATATGTATGTGTGTACGTGTATATGTATACATACATACATATATATATTTTTTTTTCTTTTTTTTTTTTTTGCCGTTTTTGGCCGGGGCCAGGTTTGAACCTGCCACCTCTGGTATATGAGGCTGGCGCCCTACTCCTTTGAGCCACAGGCACCACCCCATATACATATTTTTTTTAAACAAGATAAAACGAAACTGTCACAGAGCTCTGTGCTTACCTGACTCTTGGGTTTCCCCCTTATATGCTCATATATTAATACATATCCTCCTGGGTCTTTTATACTTGAATACACTAAGCATGTTGAGTAAACTTTGTTTTGACTCAGCTAAGGTGTCAAAGTTGGCCAGCTGGTGTTTCCCTTGGTATTGGGAAAAAGATGTACGCTGGATGTCCTGAGGGCTTGGTTCTTACTTTGCTACCACGTAACCCTGGGACAGTTCCCCTCTCTGAGTCATGGCTTTCCAACTGGAAAATGAGCCATTTGACACCCAGAGACTCAAGATGCCTCTGGTTGAAAAGTGCTTTATCTATTAGAGCTGGACTCACTGGCCACAAGAGCAAGCATCTAGTTAGCACAAAGTTAGAACAGGAAACTCCCAGAGATCTAGGATTGTTAGTGTCTCCTTCATGAGCCAAGTCACACACAAAGGTGATTTGAGGTTCTGTTCAAAGCTGCTTGTCCCAGGAGCCAGAGATAGTGGTACCAGAGCTTCTGCTGTAAACCAGGAGGGCTGTGTTGGCATGGTAAGCAACAGGTCCTCTTGATGCTTGCTCTTGTGGCCAGTGGTCCTCTTGATGCACTCATTCAGCGAATGCCTGCATGCCTATAGTCCCCTGAACCCTGCACTGGACAGTGGGAGCAGCTGTGATGCAAAGTAGACAGGAACCCACCATCAGGAGTTGTGAAGGAAGAAAGTAAGGGGAGAGAGAAAGAAAGTAAACAGGGTACCAGAGAGAAAGTAAACGGTTTCCCAACAGAGAAAGTGCCTGGATGTTGCAATGGATGTTGCTGCCCACAAGGGAAACCAGCCAGGGGAAAAATGGCTCAGAATTTCCTGAAAGGCATGTTCTCTGACCATCAGTTGTCACTTTGGAAGGGGATTGGGAGCCTGGGGAGCTGTTTCTTATAGACTTTGTTACAGCATGCGAATTTAGCTTTAAAAGCTAATATAATGCCTCAGAAAAGGAATCAGAACACAAGGGAGGCGGGAAGAAGGGCAGAAGAACTAGCATTGCTGAGCACGTGCACTGGGCTGCCCTAAGCCCTCTGTAAAGTGCAGGACATCCTCCCCGTCCACCTCTGAGACAAGGACAACCAAGGCTTAACAGAGGTAAGTCATTCACAAGTCACCTAAGGCCACACAGGGAGCAAAAGGGAGAACTAGTGTTAGAATCAAAGACTAGAGAAGACTTTTCTCTGCCACCTGAAAGCCTGAGATTGAACCCATGGAATCTGTGTACACAGGAATCCAGGCACTGGGATTAGGATGGGGGAAACCCTAGAAGATGCGCAAGAGATAGAAAAAGTGATGAAGGGGCACAGGGGGAATGCAGAGAACTGTGGCTGCTGACATGGAGCTGTGTGTGAGGCCTGATCGCAGGATGGAGGCTGGCGTGTGGAGGCAGAGGAGACGCATCCCCCACGTGCTGGAACCCCACCCTGCTGGGGGCCATCTCACAGCATGAGCCAACATTTATTTGGCAGGCACCATGCTGAGGACTTTGTGACTACACAGATAAACCATATGCATATCATTGTGAGGGTCAAATAAATACATTATTTAAGATATTTAGTGCATATACTAATACATTATTGGGACAAACTCACTGGTGCAAATTAAGGACTCAAGAAATGTTAGCTGTTTAATCTTGCTCAAAAATAAATAGCCTGGGGGATCGACACTCTTATTACCTTTATTTTCCCACTGAAGAAACATCTTTCGTGAACCTATGCAGCTCATCCCTAAAGACATAAAGCTTGCAAGAGGTGGAGCCTGACTTTGGGGCTGGGATTTGAGTCTAGGCCTAAGTCCAGGGACTCCATGCTTAACTGCTAAATTATGTCTGTCTGCAAAACTGGAATGAGAATCACACACCCTGCTCTACGGGGGTCCTGTCAGAAAGCTTAGGGGCTGGATGAGTGGGGCCTTGACACAAGGAGCCCCACTGTGTGTTTATGAAGGGAAATCTGGAGGAGGAGCAGGGGAGGTCGAAAGCGTATAGGACACATGTAATAGAGGATGGATATGACCATGTGTAAGGCACTCCTACCAGCAGAAAAGTGGGCAAAGGATATGAACAAGAAACCAGCTGAAGTCTTGTAAAGGATTAGTAAGCTTTAAAAAGATACTCAACCTAACTAATTATCAAGGGAATAAAAATTTTCAAAATACTGTTGCTTTTTCACCCATGAGAATGGCAAACATTTAAAAAGACTGATGCTAACATAGTAGAATCTCCATACTTGACCACCTTCCCTACATCAACCACCTCCTGAAGTTGACCTACATTTCGTAGACTGGACATGTACCACGTGTACGTATCAGTACAGAAGGCCCAGTCCCTTATGTTGACCAATCTGTTATAGTCCCTTGGGTGGTCAACTTACAGAGGTTCTATTTAAGGATTGGTGAGGGCGTGGGGGAAATTCTCTAGTATAGCGTTGATAGAGTATGGATTGGCCCAGTCCTCTTGAAGGGAAATTTTACAAAACCAAAAGTTAATATGCACATACCCTCGGAACTCTAGAAATTTGTCCTACAGAAATATACATGTTTGTACAAAGGTGATTGCTAAAGCATTGTTGTCTCAGTAAGGGACTCTCTCCATAAAGCCTGATCTGTTCATAGTATGCAGTACTAGGTGATTTTAAAAAGATGAAGTAATTAAGTAGAAAGGTAAGCATGATAATTCAGGTTAAAAAATCACTGAACATTTTGTATAGTATGATGTTAATTATATAAAGGCAAACAATAACCCCATGTATGTGCCTATATATGTTTAATTTTACACACATGCTTATCCTGTAAATAACCAGAAAGCCATGGGCAGATACATACTAAATGATTAATAAGAGAGATGAGAAATTTAGATGAGAAGCTAAAAGTAAATTTTATTTTATTAAAAAAAATTGTTTTTTTTTGAGACAGTGTCTCACTTTGTCACCCT